ATTGTCCGGATGGACCAAGAAGTAAGAAACAGAAACTTGTTGAGATACTTTGTTCTGAGAATGCTGAAAAAAGCCACTAATAATAATAGTAATAATAATAATAATAATAATAATAATAATAATAATAATAATAATAATAATAATAATAATAATAATATGGAAATATATCGTCACAGTCGTTTACATTAAGCATGAATTCCAGACATACAGCACAGTCTGAATCATTGCGATTTCTTAAACCCGTGTTAACTCATGATGAAAAATACGTTACTCAAATAAATTGAATGTTGAGCAATATCAATCAATATTCCGTAAATTTATGAATAACCATAAATTGACAATTTTTATTAATAGAATGGAGCTTCGTGGAGATTGTAGTTATTTTTAATAGTTGAATTCATGAGTCAGTCAAAGCCAGATCACCATTGAAAACCTGGAAGCACTGCATGACCATCTCGTCCTAGTATGAGAATCTTCAACAGTGTAGATCAACAATCTCACACCAAGGAGACTAGAACTCACCACCTTCAGTCTGACGTGTGAACATTTAACCTCTATACCACCGAGCCGACATCCAACGGTGTTAGTGTCCTAACTTTAACCAATCCAAGAAGTTGAGCCACCGTCCACCATTGTCATCAGTGAGTTACTATCTCACAACAGACCCGGTTGAACTGCACTGACCGTCCAGCTCTTCCAGGTTTTCTATGGTGGTGTGGCTTCAATTGACTCATGAATTCAGCTATTAAATCACATTTTTTTACTTTTCAAACAAACCACCTTCTATTTAGTTTATTCACCTTTTCAATAAGAAGGAATAAGTATATTACAAAAGATCATGCATCCGATATATCATAAAAAACCGATAGTAAATAATTTTTCTAAACTGAAAAAAAAGAAAAAAAGATTATTGATGATATTCTTCTTGATTTAAGTAGATTTGTTCCATTAATTTGTTGAATTCGATGAGTACTTAATAAAGTTATCATAATTGATAAAATTACAATATTTCTTCAGAAAAATTCGCCTGGAGCCTGGAACTTCTTCCGGTCTCAAGCCCGAATAAAGGAGGAGGGTTGGACATGAAGTTAACGAACTCATCCCGTAGAAAACGAACTCGCTACAGAAACGCTATCTTCAGAAAAGTATCTGAAATTAATTGATCAGTAATGCGTACTAGTATTTATGAACTTGATGTTAAGTAACTTATGATGATATGTAATTCAGCATTTTATATAAAGATTTGTTAATAGATGTTTAGTTATGTAGATATTTTTACCCACGAAATGGTACTTTGAAGTCTTGGTAAACTACTTCATATTACTTTAAAACTGCAACATTTTCATTTACCAATTACGTATTAGATCAAACTAAAGAGCATTAAGATATTGAATTAAGTATGATATCATTGAGCTACCGCGTTCATACTCAATGGTTCATCGTTTAAGACTTTATTCAACTTAGAGTAGAACTAGAAATCTTTTCTATTGTCTATTGCTGACAAATACACAATTGTTATGTAATTAATGGATTTTGGAGGACATTTTTCTCTTTTTCATGATCTTCATGAATATAATAATGAATTATGAAAAACGAACTATGGTATAATCATGAATTATGGTAGAGTACAAATTCAATGATAGAATGGTTAACGACAACACTTGTATGGTAACGATTCGAAAGTTACAATCTCCAAAAACCCCCATACAGCTAATAATCATCAATGTGCTAACTAGCGACTAACTTTAGGATGGACCTCCTAGAGTTCCAATGAGAAGCTGTAACCAGTAGAGTTCAATCGGTGTTGAGTAGAGACAGGTATCTACCTCAGTATAATCGAAGATGGTCGCTCAATTTCGTGGATTGGTTGAAGTTAGACATTAACACCGTTGGATGTCGGCTCAGTTGTCTAAAGTTTAAATGTTCGCACGTGAGACTGAATGTGTTGAGTGTGGGATTGTGGATGTGCACTGTTGAGGATTCTCATCCTAGGATGAGAAGACCATGCAGTGCTTCCAGTTTTTCAATGATGATCTAGCTTAAACAGACTCATGAATTCAACTATTAAGATTACAAAGCAAAGCTATAAAATCTCAAGTTTATTTTCTATATATTTCAAATACTAAAACGAAATACTTAAAGGTGTTCTTCAAAGATAAGTATGATCCAAAAAGAGATTTAGATACTGACTAGCATTGATTCCTTTATTTAGATCACATTGAACCCCTTCTATATTATCCACTCTGTCTTTTTTCTTAATGTTCATTACATTAAGTTTACTCAACGAAAACATAACTGGAATCACTTTTCTTAGTATTTTAATAAAACAGATATCTGTCGGCAAAGTTTTTATTTTTATGGAAGAACTTTTTATAATCAATGAAACATTTTCGAAAACCTTCAGTCAAATGATGAATTGGGGTTACTGTAGTTTCGAATATTGAACATTCTAGTTTATAAGTAAAGCAGTGTAATCTCAAAATGATTTTGAAACAGATTATTGACTTGAATAAACGACTGTTCAGAGGTAACTATTTTTTTTCCATAAATCAATACTCATGTCGATGAAAGAAACTATAGTCACCGATCAAACACTTCATGGCAAACAATTGAAAAGAACGAGAATGTATCTAATCTTAATTGCTTTATAGATCAAACTGTAAAATTGGGTTATTCTGTATCAACCATTTCATATTTCATTCACTTGTTCTCTACTGCAACCATTAGTATTAGTATTTGCACTCCTTTGTTTCGTCTCTGACCCTTATTCGTTTACTATGTTTATTTGAATTTTGATAACTGAGCCAATACACATTTGTGCCATGGATTTTCATTGTCCAGCTGTCTAAGAATATTCGTTTTACATCTTAATCAATTTTACTTGTGAACAAGAAGCAATTTCTTAAGATAACATTGTTTCTTAGCAAGTAATGATTTAGTTGGGCAATAATGTATATAATGTAGTGCTTGTACAAAGAGTAGTGATGTTTTTGACGAGACTAAAGTTTATGGACGAGCCAATCCCATTCAACATATCAGGTCTCAGATTTTGGTGCGAAATTCATTCACTCATTTGTTTAAATAGCGTCAGTTCGTGGTGAAAGCCCTTAATCTAATTCCCGAAACTAACCATCAACTGTCTGTTATAGTCCTTATTCTTTAAACTGCTTTATAACAGTCATTTAGCTCAAGTAAGTAGGTGGATATTCTCAAGGTCACCCGAGCGCCGTTCAAAGGTCATTCATAGATTATAGTCTCACCATGTTTTTATACGAATGCTTTAGTTAAAAATCCTAACTACTACATTTTTCTGATACTAAGTTCGTGAAATCAAACATGTCCATCACTATTCAACGCTAGTTAAATTGAACAGATGTAAAAAAACATGACGATCATCTGATATACATTTTGCTTACAATGAAAACAGTCCCCTTTAAACTGTATCAACTTGGAAATTTATAAATTAGATACATATTTTTCTAGCACTGAGAAAAGATTGTTCAATATTCATGGAAGACGAAATTTTCTACGGGTAAACCTGGCTGTTGCTTACAGATTATCTATATCAGAATAATGTCTGTTGATCAAACACTTCATCATTTATAAAGGGTTAGTAATCTATATATACATCACAATATTCATAAGCAAGTTAGTCAAATTGTATCAAGTACAGATGTGATGTATACTCATAGCAGCTTATAGAAACATATTTGAAAATTCAATTACGAAGATACTAACCATCATATTTCTTTTTGTATTGTTTATTTGAATATTCCCATTGATATTTAGAACTGGGATTGGTCAGTCTCTTATTGGCATATGTACATCCTGTTCGGATTGCCTCATATATTGACTTCAGTCACAAGCGTTATAAGCTTAAATGAATAGAGACTAGCGGTGGAATCCAAGATACACATTTCATCCTAATTTGAACAATCGATTGCAGTTCTAAACATCAATGAGAAGATCTAAAAAAAAACAATACCAAAATCAATTAGAACTTCACTCTACTTCACTCCACAGCCAAGTGGATAATGTGATGATATTTAAATCGAACTGTAATGAGTTCGAGTCTCCCCTGAAGTGAACAACAACTCTGAGATGCAAAATTACATCTTAGGATGAATTGTATGTCCTGAATTCCATTACTAACTACCACCGTGAACTTTATTCATTATTATTCTATTTAAAATACTAAAATATTTACAGTTCAAATTGTCAAATGATGTCTATTATCTAAAGTTGTAAACTACTGTCAAAACTATTTACTATGGATAAAATACTCACGTGAAGTAAATATAAACTGTCAAAATAACTTTTTTTTGTAAATAAAAAAATAAAAGTGATTTTTTGCTTATTCCGCTATGATTTTCATTATGTCAAATTGTCAAAATGATCTGAATTATTATTCATTTTATAATGACAAATAAGTAGTCAAATAAGTAGTTATTATTATTATATTGGTTCTTAAAACTATTCTATTCCAAGCTATTGGCTTTCTTTCTTTTTGTTGTTGTTTCTTTACAAGGTACAATCAATCATTTTTACTGGTTAGGGGTGGCCAAACCAAAATATGACATCAGTCCATGAAGTTACTAACTTCTAGTCTGAGTCATGTTAATAGATTTAGATTAATTGATTAGGGTTCGCGTGACTATCGTAATCAATAGTTGAAGACTCTGTGATATGGGTCAGAATTGGACATGATGGCGTAGATGTATACACTCTCTATCTTCCTCTAAAATATGAGAGTAAAATAGCTTCATATCTGTCCTTCTACAAACTAATTTTTTCTTCCTGTACTATGTCATTATATGCAATCTTTCTTTTATATATTACACCATTGAGTTAACTGCATTCATGAATCCGGTGTTCAGCTTGATGTACTAACGAGGTATGGTAACTTGGACGGATGCATATATGTGCCTGGTCCTACGTTGTAGCTGACTGACCGACTGGTTTTTCATTTGTAAATATATAATTCAAAGTATGTAGTGATTTCAAGAAGTGTACGATGATGATGATGATGATGATGATGATGATGATGATGATGATGATGATGATGATGATGATGATGATGATGATGATGATGATGATGATGATGATGATGATGATGATGATGATGATGATGATGATGATGATGATGATGATGATGATGATGATGATGATGATGATGATGATGATGATGATGATGATGATGATGATGATGATGATGATGATGATGATGATGATGATGATGATGATGATGATGATGATGATGATGATGATGATGATGATGATGATGATGATGATGATGATGATGATGATGATGATGATGATGATGATGATGATGATGATGATGATGATGATGATGATGATGATGATGATGATGATGATGATGATGATGATGATGATGATGATGATGATGATGATGATGATGATGATGATGATGATGATGATGATGATGATGATGATGATGATGATGATGATGATGATGATGATGATGATGATGATGATGATGATGATGATGATGATGATGATGATGATGATGATGATGATGATGATGATGATGATGATGATGATGATGATGATGATGATGATGATGATGATGATGATGATGATGATGATGATGATGATGATGATGATGATGATGATGATGATGATGATGATGATGATGATGATGATGATGATGATGATGATGATGATGATGATGATGATGATGATGATGATGATGATGATGATGATGATGATGATGATGATGATGATGATGATGATGATGATGATGATGATGATGATGATGATGATGATGATGATGATGATGATGATGATGATGATGATGATGATGATGATGATGATGATGATGATGATGATGATGATGATGATGATGATGATGATGATGATGATGATGATGATGATGATGATGATGATGATGATGATGATGATGATGATGATGATGATGATGATGATGATGATGATGATGATGATGATGATGATGATGATGATGATGATGATGATGATGATGATGATGATGATGATGATGATGATGATGATGATGATGATGATGATGATGATGATGATGATGATGATGATGATGATGATGATGATGATGATGATGATGATGATGATGATGATGATGATGATGATGATGATGATGATGATGATGATGATGATGATGATGATGATGATGATGATGATGATGATGATGATGATGATGATGATGATGATGATGATGATGATGATGATGATGATGATGATGATGATGATGATGATGATGATGATGATGATGATGATGATGATGATGATGATGATGATGATGATGATGATGATGATGATGATGATGATGATGATGATGATGATGATGATGATGATGATGATGATGATGATGATGATGATGATGATGATGATGATGATGATGATGATGATGATGATGATGATGATGATGATGATGATGATGATGATGATGATGATGATGATGATGATGATGATGATGATGATGATGATGATGATGATGATGATGATGATGATGATGATGATGATGATGATGATGATGATGATGATGATGATGATGATGATGATGATGATGATGATGATGATGATGATGATGATGATGATGATGATGATGATGATGATGATGATGATGATGATGATGATGATGATGATGATGATGATGATGATGATGATGATGATGATGATGATGATGATGATGATGATGATGATGATGATGATGATGATGATGATGATGATGATGATGATGATGATGATGATGATGATGATGATGATGATGATGATGATGATGATGATGATGATGATGATGATGATGATGATGATGATGATGATGATGATGATGATGATGATGATGATGATGATGATGATGATGATGATGATGATGATGATGATGATGATGATGATGATGATGATGATGATGATGATGATGATGATGATGATGATGATGATGATGATGATGATGATGATGATGATGATGATGATGATGATGATGATGATGATGATGATGATGATGATGATGATGATGATGATGATGATGATGATGATGATGATGATGATCTAACTCGAAACAACTGTAGACAACAATCGACTTATATCATAGATGAATAAGTGATAAGTTGTTAAAAAGGAGCTAATACTTCTTACTCTATGATTCTCAGATTTTATTGAGATTTTGTAATTTTGCATTTAAATACATTTGATTGTCTCCACTTGTGTTCTAGCAACAATGGAAGCCTATTAGATGGAAAGTATGTATCATGACTTATTTGTCTAGTTGAAGTTATTGTTACTGAGTTCGAGCTTTAATAAAAACACTAGCGATGATATGATTATTGAGATTTTGCCAAATATGTATTTGACTAGTGTTTGGTTTTATTCAGAATACTCTCAAACAAATTAACAGTAATCTCTAGTCTTCAAAGACACTATGAATAACAAACTAATCCAAGGCTTTTTATAATTTACAACAGAAACTGAAATATGTCTAGATGAGCAAAACTGAACTCTATTTGATCCTATTTATAAGTAATAAACATTCCCTACTTTATGATAACAATAAGAGAACTGTAGTTGTAATTTCAATAAACCCGATACATAGCTTTTAATTTCCTTCAAACGTATACATACATCCAAGTTCATGCAATTACCTAGAATGCTGTAGTGTCGGTTACTATATTAAGCCCACATATCTTATTCTATCCTCCGTACAGTCCAATTTATTCACTTTACTTCAGTCATGTTTTGATCTTGTTAAATGATCACTTATCAACCCTGACTATTTTTATATGAACGTATGTGTGTACACTTCTTATCCTATTCATTACATGACTGTAACTTGTTTTTGTGTGACTATAAATATCGATTAACACCTGGTTAAATCGAATTGGCTTACACGGCTTCTTCACCGTGCGTCCTTTCACTTCTCTCTCTTCTATTTGCTTCATCGCTTTCATTTCCTGTTCTCATCAATGAGTATACAAAATATATGTATTTAAAAATCCATTCACGTATTAGACTTATTTAATTCTGTTATTCACTAATGCGATTTAAGTCGATGATTATATACGAGGATAGCCGACATCTATATTCCAATGACAATCAGCATACAATTCAATTGGAGTCTAATCCTACAAAATGCTATAAAAATGCTTCTAAATAAAAGAAACTCATTTTGTTACTATACTTCCTACGAAATGATCATATTATTATTTTCTATTTATTATTTTCTGAGGAGTCTCACAATAGGACGAAACTACCGTCCAGTGATTCCACGTTTTCCATAGTGGACTAGCTTCACTTGAATCATGATCTCAACCATTGAAATTACCTTAATATCCACAAAAAGCCCTTCTGATATTATTAAATATAAATCAATCCTTCGATCTTAAATCTTACACTACTTGCTCATTGTCAAATGACAACTTTTTGTGCTATAATGGTCAACAAATCTTTTCTTTTTTTTTTCTATATTTTTCACAATATTTTCTATTTTATCTGAAATGTCATTGAAATATGTTTTAATGATTTAAGTATATATAATACAAGCAGGTGGTTATCAGGACCCAGTAGTTAAGTAGATAACAGGATAGCGTTTGAAGCAGACGGTACGGGGTTCAGGTCTCAGAATGAATATCAACTTTGAGATGCAGGTACCTTCCTCTGATGAGTCCCGAATAGGACTAAATGCGCGTCCTACATTCCACTGCTAACCACTATCCATCTTTGCTTATAAGTAATATGTGTTCATATGTACATATATATATATAAGATGAAAGGTTAGTAAGCGTATTGATATATAGTCCAACATATAATGGTTTCAACTCTATATATTTAATGCACATAAATACATATAAATAACAATAAACATATATATGATTCATATTACTCATTACATAACATTAAAGAACAATGAAAATGAAATCATTTTAAGCAAAGGTTTGTATAACATCAAAAACAGTAGGTTCAATTATAACTACTATTTCATTTATAATAATCTGTGAATTATATAAATGTATGAAATTACTCATTTGATTCATGTTCTGACCTCAGACCATCATAGAAAGAAATGAAGTCAAACACGCACACACACACACACACACATACAAATAATATTAACTACTTATTATATATGTGTAAACTACTTAATTCATGTCATAATTAATTTAGTTATGCACTTGACAAGTAATATGTCATTACTGTTATTTCTATTATTGTGTTATGTTATTATTAATATACACAAATGTATTTGTAACTAGTTCTACCTAGTTCTACCAGCATGTGTATATGAAAGTGTTGTTTTTCATTTTTGATAAGTTGAAGAGATTTATGTATGCGATCAAAATATCACTGGTTTTTTTTTATAGAATATTCAATGTTATATTCCTTCATTCTATATGTAGATTTAAACATTAAGATGTTAGTTAGAAGTCAATAGAAAACCCTGGATTAAGGTTTCGTACTACTTGGCATTCGTTAGTAAGGTGTACTTGTAATTTTCAGGGAACTGATGCTCTTCGGTCGATAGGATTTGAACTGTACTATCACCATCCAGTGATCAATCAATTTTAAAAACTTAAAGTTTATTTTTTTCCTTAAAACCTAACTTCTATATTTTGGACATATTAAGATTAGGTTGGATTTATTTTATTTGATGGATCAGTTTTTTAACCATCTAAGTTTATGTGTTAAACTCAATCTCCATCCAATCATTATCGTTATACCCTTCCACAAGTTTGGCAGAATTACGCAGAAACTCATTAAGTTCATTTACTGTTGAAGGATCTTCTGAGTTATTCTGTCAAACTTGTAGAAGTGAATGCGAAGGTTACCTTTCACAAGGATTGCGTGAACATACTACTAGACTACTAGAATGTGGTGCTCGATTTGCCAATCTTTGCATTCACATCTGCATCACATCCTCCACGTTCATTAGTGATGCTACCCAAATACGTATAAGTTTCCATCTCTTCCAGAGTTTCTCCATCAAGTGTGATTGAGTTGGTGTTCTCTGTTTTGTGTTTCAGGATCTCAGTTTTCCCTTGTGTATGTTGAGGCCTATTGATGCAGAGACTGCTGCTACACTGTTTATCTTGCCTTGCATTCACTTGTGTGTATGAGACAGAGGAGCTAGGTAATCTGCAAAGTCTAAATCGTCTAGTTGCATCCAATCTGTCCACTGAATTCCATGCTTCACTTCAGATGTCGAAATCCTCATAATCCAATCAATCACCAGAAGAAAACGAAAGTTGGCGAATAAGCAGCTTTGTCTGTCTTCTGTCTTCACTGGGAATCCATCTCTCAGCTGTCTTCTATACGCGACTTGCCTCAAAATAGAAAAAACTCCATAATCTAATAAATATATATTTTGTATCAAAAAAGAAATAATATAAACCAAATCATTTTGTTTATCTTATGAAATAGGAACTTATGGGAAAGAAAATGGCCTATTCTATTCATGCTACATCATGATTTATACTACTTTAATTTATGTGTAAATTATTTACTAAGTCAAATTTCATGTTTACTGTGTATTAATTTGTATATGCGTGACTTTATATATATAACTTGACTAAAAATAAATAATTGTTTTCAATGTAATTTCATCTCTATATAGAAACAAAATATAAACCAGCTGTTTTCTGTATTAAAGCAAACAATATATTTAAAGTAGAGAAAGTAATAAAGATCTGGCAATATATAAGCCAAAGCATTAAAGTTAGACAATAAAAGCATTTGTAAATATTGTTTCCTATTCTATTCAGGAAGATTTGAAAGGAGAATTAGGTGTCAATAGTCTGGAAAGAAGGATATCTTATCAACACACCAAAGTAAGGAGATCTGAGCAAATATGCGGATTAAAGAAGTATCATCAGTTTAGGTGTTGTGGAGATTGTTAAGTTTTTGATTGAAATCATGATTCAATCAATAAAGAGGTATCACACTACTACTGGTACTAGCAGAAGATTTCAACAGAATATTGATGAACGGAGTTAAAGATTCAGTAGACATCCAGCTTCGAGATTATTAGGTCGTATTCCGTAAGGATTAGTTGTGCACACTACGGATCATCGTTGAATAACCAATTAAATAGAACTCGTCAACATACATCAACTTTCTTCGCTATGAGAAGGCGTTGGAGATGGATTCCAAGTGAAGACAGAAGACAGACAAAGCTGCTTATTCGCCACCTTTCGTTTTCTTCTGGTGATTGATTGGATTATGAGGATTTCGACATCTGAAGTGAAGCATGGAATTCAGTGGACAGATTGGATGCAACTAGACGATTTAGACTTTGCAGATTACCTAGCTCCTCTGTCTCATACACACAAGTGAATGCAAGGCAAGATAAACAGTGTAGCAGCAGTCTCTGCATCAATAGGCCTCAACATACACAAGGGAAAACTGAGATCCTGAAACACAAAACAGAGAACACCAACTCAATCACACTTGATGGAGAAACTCTGGAAGAGATGGAAACTTATACGTATTTGGGTAGCATCAATAATGAACGTGGAGGATGTGATGCAGATGTGAATGCAAAGATTGGCAAATCGAGCACCACATTTCTACGATTGAATATTATATGGTACTCGGAGCAATCGACAATCAATATCAAAGTCACAATCTTCAATATGAATTTCAATTCAGTTCTATTGTATGGAGTTGAGACTTAAAGAACTACTACAACATCATCAAGAGAGTGTGAGTATTTGTAAACACTTGTCTATGAAAGATACTCAGTGTCCGTTGATCGGATGCCATGAGCAACAGCCTACTATGTGAGAGAACAAATCAGTTTCTTTTTGAAGAAGATGCTGTATTTGGATAGTATATACATATCGGAAATAATCGAACTATATCACGAGTTAATCACTAAATTGGAATCTTGAAGGAAAACACAAAAGTGGAACACCATAGAACACACTGCATCAGGAATTGCAAACAATTATGAAAAAGTTAAATAACAACTGGAAAGAATGGTAAATGATTAGCTAGTACAGAGTTAGATAGGAAATACTTGTGGGCGGCCCATATTCCTCGAAGAAGTCTAGCAGGTTTAAATAAGTAGTATTCATAAATAATTTATACAAAAATATAACGATTCACATTCCTAAAATCTATTTATAAAATAATCAAGCACAATAACTTAATAGCTCACACATATTTGAAATTTTCTAATGTTCTACCGGGGTTTTGTTTTTCTTTCGAATGGAATCAAATTCATACCAAATCAGATTTATCGTCCGTAATAATCTAAATATAATACTATTCTCATTATGTAAAATTTCTCTGACAATGATCTCTCTTTCCTTTTGTTTTCTTTTATAACTATCATATTATCTGTAGTTTGACGGTGAATAGTGTATTACTTACATGATAGTATCTAGAATAATAAAGAATGTATCACATTTTAATGTTCATACTATCTATCACCTAGTAATATTGAAAGAAAAACATTACGATACGATTTAAGCTTCTTTGATACAATTTGGCAAGACTGTAATTTATGGATGAACCAATCAAATACAAAATAATAAGTCTTGGATTTTGGCGCGAAATTTATCCATACATTTGGTAAAATATCATTTTGGCATTATAGTCGATGTCAGTTCCTGATGAAAACCCTGAATCTAATTTCT